GGACTTATCATTTTTCTGGCTGGAGGATACATTTGTTGGAGAAAGTATAAACATCAGCAACAGCAGCAAAACACAATCTGATTCATCGCAAATCACCAAAATGACACATGTATGTGTTTTATTTTACAATCTAATAATCATTTGTAAGTTATCACAGATTCAAATAGAAAAATGTGGTTTAGATGTCTTTATCACTTGGCCTGATCTCACTTACACCTTAGTTCTGGCAACAAAGTTCAAACAATCGTGATCATTAATATACAGTAAAATCTTTATTTTTCTTTCTTTCTTTCTTTCTTTATATAGCACTATATAAATACAACTAAGTTGTCCAAAGTGCTTTACAAGGTAAACATAGAAAATAGCACATCAACATGATAATAGTAAATAGCATAAAAAAATAATACAATCCTAAAGCAACACCCATTTTAAAATGCCATAGAGAGTAAATACATTTTTCATTTGGATCTAAAAATAGCCAGAGTCGGTGCCGTTCTAATAGCTAGTGGCAACTTATTCCACAGATTTGGACCGCTCACCGCAAACGCACGATCACCCTTGAGCCTAGATCTAGTTCTGGGCACTGTTAAGAGTGCCAGATCACTGGATCTAATGGTGCTTTTCCACTGCGTGGTATGACATGGCTCGGCACGGCTCAGTATGACATGGCTCGGTTTGCGTTTCCACTGCAGTCTAGTACCGCTTAGAGTGGGCGGGATTATTCACATGTCGCTATAGTCAAAGCCACTAGAAGGCAAGCCTGCAACCATTAGCCGAAAAAGCGTAATGGCTAAAGCTAACGCTTCCGGTCTGGCAGTACGTGGGAAAGGAGACCAGAGGCCTTTTTTTTTATTTTTAAATGGATGTCAATGGAGGAGAGGCTTCACTACACTGAATAAACAGCTTTTTAGAGGAAACCGCTCATCATTTAATGAATCGACAGCCTATCTGCTAATCTTCAACATGTTTTACACTAAACAATACTTTTGAATTGAACTATTTTTAGAGCTTACCACAAAAAAAATGCTGTTTTATAAGAGAAGTCACTGACTTTTTGCGACAGGTGGAATTCAGCTTACGGCATTTCTCATTCATTCCTATGATATCCATAAACGGTGATTGAGTGTCGCACAACTCTGACTGAAATGTAATTACGTCAAGGCTGTAATGTGATTGGTTATGAAGGGACATGTGATCCAAGTTAGCTGTTACGCTTTCTCCAATAGTAAGTAATACAGACCCTCTCATCTCACTATAGTAAGATAATCTCTGGTTATAGTTGCGCTGCCTCTACTGCTGCGACTCCTGAAAAACTTTTTCATTCCGCATCGCCCCATCAAGCTCTCGCTGGATCCGCTCCTCTGCTATCAACGAGAGGAATGTCTGTTCTTCCTCAACAAACCACGAAACAGCCATTTTTTGGTTGTTAAAAAAAGGTGTGCTCGTTCAAAACAGTTGCGTTCGATCCTTCGCTGGCTGTGCTGATTTAAATCCAGCGGTTCTGTTGTGTTTGTGTCGCAAGTTCAGTGACGCAGGTAGTGACGATTCTCTCCAGCCAATCCGTGATCAGCAGAGTTTACACGTCACGTTTTGATAACGGTACGGTTCACTTGGAACCTCAACCAAGGTGGTACTAAAAAAAGTACCAGGTACTGTACCCAGTGGAAAACCCCCCAAAAGTGAACCGTACCGAGCCGTACCATGCAGTGGAAAAGCGCCATAAGTGATCTAGAGGGAACATGTCTTACAAGGAGATCTGCAAGATAAGGTGAAGTGCGGTTATTAATAGACTTAAATACCATAACCAGGATTTTAAACTCAATTTTGTATTTTACAGGTAGCCAATTCAACGAAAAAGGATGGGAGTGATATGTTCATATTTTCGTGTCCTGGTCAGGAGTCTAGCAGCAGCATTGCAGCCGATCTAGAGATTACTTATTAATACCGCAGTAAAGCGAGTTGCAATAGTCTATGCAAGAAACTATCAGTGCATTAATGATTTTCTGAGTATCTGAAAAATGTAAAAACGGCGTAACATTTCTGTCACACGCTTGAGGTATTCGGCCAATCACAAGGCACTGGATAGCTGGCCAATCACAGCACACCTCGCTTTTTCAGACCGATGAGCTTTGTAAAAATCGATGCGTTTCAGAAAGACGGGGCATAGAGGAGAAACAATAATGTACAGTATGTGGAAAATAATTTTTTATTTGATTTTTAATTTTTTTTTACTTTAAACCCGCATAAACACATTTCATTACACCAATTACACAAAATAATGTTATCTTTAGCAGCATCATATGACCCCTTTAACTTTTGCGAGTTGACGTAGATAAAAGAAGCAAGACCGAAACACAGAACTAATTTGTTTATCCATTTTAAGCTCATTGTCAATTTGGATGCCCAGATTTTTGACACACAATCTAATATTTGGTTCAAACTTTTTTAGTTCCGTTTTAAGGACTGCCATAGCAGATGCTGACCCAAATAGAATGATTTCCGTCTTAGATTCATTAAGATGCAGAAAATTTTATAACATCCGGGACATGTCAGGGTTTCTAAAGCCTTTGCATTTCCTTTTTTAATTGGCATGTATATTTGTGTCGTCAGTGTAGCAATGAAACGATATCCCATGTTTCGCAAGAATATCGCATAAAGGTATCATATGTAAAGAGAATAAGATTGGAGCTAAAATGTATCCCTGCGGAACTCCGCAAGCAAGATGCGCCATGGAAGAAGCGAAATTATCAATGTTAACTGAGAAAGAACGGTTAGTCAAATAAGATATAAACCATTTTAGAACATTTCCCTGCAGAACGATACAGTTTTCTAAACGGGAAATAAGAATAGAGTGATTATCAAACGCTGCTGATAGATCCACAGAATCGCCAGAGTCGACCGATGGATAGATATCATTTAATACTTTAAGAAGAGCTGTTTCAGTGCTGTGCTGGATTCTTAAGCCTGACTGAAAATAGCAGTGCCACTGCCTTTAATGTAGTGTTTATTAATTCAGTATCAATAAGCAGTAGGCTTAGAGTATAAGTAACTTATAAGTATTAAGCAACTGCAGTTTTTAGACGTAGATATCAAGGAGAAAATCATCCTTATTCACAGGACGTGTTTGCAGCTAAATCAAGCAAATATATGTGTTTAAGCTGAAATTTGATGCAGTAATTCACGAAAAAAATTTGTATTTCAATCTCCAGGTGGTGCTGACAGGAACTCCTCCAACACACTCCTGATCCTGCTGATTATTGGCTTTTTTTTGTTGTTTAAATTCCTGCCAAAGAACTGGTGCCATTTTCTCCATAGAGCACCACTCTACACTGGTCTGAAATTATTGTTTTGGATCAGACCAAGAGATGACTCGCTACAGAATATACTACTGCACTTTTCTCAGACTTTTGGGAAGTTAGGTTTAGGGTTATTTGTTCTTCTCATACAGTCTGCTGTGAAATCTTGCACACTCGCACTTTTGGTGCACACATCATTTAGATGAACCATACCACTTAAACACTAAATTAATGTCAACTTTGGTATGGTTTGCTGCTGATGATCTGAATGCAACTGTCCTAAATTGTGTGTCGGTTAACCATTGTTTTTATTTGGATGTCAGTTTTGGCAGCTCGATCACGGCAGCTGTAGAGACAAGTGCCATTCTGTGTTGATGTTTACAAACAAAACAAAGGTTCAAAACCAACTGAACTTTGTTTAGGACCAAACAATCGAACCAAGTGTGAAAGCATCTGTATGTTTTTATTCCAAATAATTGTTTGTATTTTCCTATATGCTCATGTTGCACTAAATGAATTAGGTACAGTATGCAGAGGCGGACAGTAACTAAGTACATTTACTTGAGTATTGTACTTGGGTACACTTTTTGAGTATCTGTACTTTTTTTCTGGGAACTTGCGACATTAACTTCACTACATTTGAAAGACAAATATTGTACTTTTCACTCCACTACATTTCTATCAAGGTCCTCGAAGTAGAAAGTCGTTACCATGTAGCAGCTTTGAAAGTCAGTGGGTGATTTTTTTTCTTCTCTAAAACATGACATGACATTCTTCTTTCAGACAGTTTATCAGTAATCACTCTTGTAGCTTGTAGGTTTGATTTTTTTATTTTCTTATCAGTCTGTATTTACAGGATTTCTCTGTTCAAATGTGGATGAATAGCTACACATAGATGTGTCCAGAGCTGTCCATCCTGCTTTTGTGGGGGTGTAGGGGTGTTAAGTAATAATACTTTTTTTTGTTTAGTTTTCCCCCATAGGTTTTTAACATTCTAAAAGCTCTTTATTCCAAAGATACTACAAGCGAGTCAGTGTATTCAGTAGGTGTATTGTATTGTAAGTTGCTTCAGATGTATTGCAAGTATTACATACAACAATAATAAAACAGTGCATTGACATAAAAAAAGGAAATTTACTTTGGGTACTTAAGTACTTATAAAAGCAAGTACTTCTGTACTTTTACTTAAGTAAAAATCTGTCTTTACAACTTTTACTTGTAATGGAGTAATATTTGACCAGCAGTAGCTGTACTTTCAAGTAATGGAGTTGTGTACTTTGTCCGCCTCTGACAGTATGTATCTAGTAAGCTCAGTGACCTTGATGTTTTATATTTTCTTTTCTTTCTGAAACTATGCATCAGGTCATTGTACTGTAAACAACTTCTGATCTGTGATGAAACCCCTATTGATGTGATGACTATTAAAGTACTATGGTACTACTAGATCCTCATTTGTCATTAAATCTGATCAATTGTTTTGCATTGCCATGAATGCTTAATATTTGACTACAACACACACACAGACCAAATCCAGTAAAATGTGTATTTTATTATGTAACTGCACATAAAGTTTTGAAGCATAAGTGATAAAAAGCACAGCTGTAACAGCACTCATGTAACGTTTCATGATCAGGAAAGGAAGTGGAAGTGGTTTTAGTGTCTCTGCATTGTGCTGAAACCTGTAGTTTGATCCACACCATTACGAACAACAGACACAATGGAGAAAGTCATTTTCTTCTGTATTTTTTCTTCCTGGATTATGCAAACAGGTTCCAGTGGTAAGGATGCTCATTAAAATTCCACCTAACTCACCATTTTAACCTCAAACCGTTATATTTATTGAAATAATTTCAAATAATTGGTTAATTTTTCTCCAGATGTTTCAGAACATGATGTAACTCTATTAAGAGTCCAGCTAAACAAAAGCATCAGCCTGAACTGCAACATGACTGACAGATATGAAATTGCATGGTTTCACCAGTATTCTCAACAATTAAATCAACTGCTATCTGCAAAGACTAGCAGTGCGTCAGGAAGACTTCTAGTTATGTACAATCAAAACTGGAGTCGTCTGAACATTGATGATCACCACGGAGATGTGGGGATCACCACAGTCATGCTAGTTATCTCTGGAGTAACAGAGTCAGATTCAGGCCTTTATTTCTGTGGAACAAAATCAGAAACGTCAAAGTCTTCAAAGATGCACTTTGATAAACCCATCAGACTACAGATCGAGGGTTAGTACTGCTCAATTTCCAGTTTCTCTCAAATCTTCATAATGTTTTTAATGCTGACTTCTGAGTAAATTATTTGACTATTTTATTTTAGTCACCACTATTAGTGCTGCTAGTGTAGCATTAATACAGTAAGGTGAAGGGCAGTGTTTGAATGATTCCTGGAATCATATGTGTTGTTGAGGAAAGTCTGCTGCTACAATAATATCGAAACTAAAATATTATTTTGTTTTAAAGAACTTGTCTTTGTGTTTTATTACGTGATGATATATTAAAAATATTTTCAGACAAGCTGACAGATGGAGAGTACAAAACTCATTCCGTCACAGATCCGCCAGAGGATGCTGAGCTCACAGGTGAGAGCGGAAATCATTCTTATGTCTCATTTTCTCACAACTTTGAAATAAGTGCAGATTCTTCAAGCATGTAGATGTGAATTAAGTGTTTGAACTTTCTGTGTTTCTTAATTCTGCACAATGCTGTTGTCTCTCTGTAGATGGAGTGACTACAAAAGAGAGGGCATTGATGTTCGGTGGTGTTGGTCTGGCTGCGTTGGTGTTTTTTCTGGCTACAGTAATTGCAGGAGGAATCATTCACTATCGCGGCTGGCAGAAAGGATGGACCGCAGCCAAACGCTCATCTCTCATGAATCACAAATCAGCTAAATAACTTCTGGTTTATTTCATAGCCTAACTCAATAAATCCCTGAGTTTTGCTTTGCATTGCTGTAGGTTACCACTAATTAAAACAGAAAACTGCAGAGAAACTGAGATGTGGCAAATGTCTTTTTTTCAGCACCAGTGAAACTTAAATACTCATTAATAGTTGTGGTTATTACTCAGGTTTGTGTGGTTCATTTGTGCTTGTCGGTAATATTTGGTCAAATATAAAAGACTGCTACTCTCACTGTCCTTAATGCAGTATTTATTCATTTAAAATATAAACAAGCTTAAAGTTCAAGTCGTTTTATGCAACTGTTGTTATATGTAGAGATTAAGTTAAAAAAGAACACCAAATATATGCTTGAATATCATTATATATGTGTCTAGCTGTATTTTCACATTACATATAGGCTATTTATACAAATGAGTATTGATATGTACATGTAAGATGGCTTCCAGAGAAAATGCCATTAAATAAAAATGTCTTAAATTTTAAATGTGTTTGTTGAGAATTCTAATCCAATCCAAACAGCAGTAAAATTAAGAAATATGTCTGTGCATTTTCTGTCAGAAAACCTGATCATTGGCAATGCTAAACCTCTTCAAACAAAACTGTATATTTGCAGTCGTGTCAGATCTGTTCTCACAGTTTCAGAAAAACAAAGAATGGTTTCACATCAGTGTGGTGCAATGAACAATCATGATTTCCTGACTGGCTGCATTAAGATCATGCAGCTAAAACCACAGACATATGAGATGAAAATAAACTATCACTGACACTCGAGAGTGATACTCATGCTAGGAAATCACTATATTTAGACAAACAGAGTGAAAACATTAGTAAGAGTTAAAATCACTGAATATATGGGAAGATGCTCCCTTAACAGTGTTTATTTACAGCTAAACTGAAACATATTTAGTGATGTTTAGTATTTACAGGATGATCTAATATATTATTAAGGTAATTACATGGAAACATTCAAAGATTTAGTTTATAAAGCACAAAATTACAAATCACGAAAAATTTAATTCTAAGAATTGTTTTATTTAAAAAATAAAAAGCACTCAAAGCATGCTTATGTGTCAAATTATGAAAGATAATAAGGCGGTAATTAATATTTCTTCTAAAGTACTGTCATATGATCAAATTGGTGTATTATCTAAAGGACTCTCATTTGTTCCTACTAGTGGAGTGAATATGTTTGGCCTAAAAGTGGATTTGTTTAAATGTTTCAGACAGATAAAACTACATTACTTTTTTTTTCTAAATCCGCTCTTTGCTCTTCACCTAAGACCCCTTTTAGACCTACGAGTACCTTTTTTCCTACTGTGTCCAGGGCCGCATTAAGACCGCACTGGGCCCCGGGGCTATGACTTAATGCAGGGCCCCCCATCACAATAATGATATATATATATATATGGGGTACAACGGGGCTAAAAGCCCACCTTAAGAAAAAATGTATAATTGCAGAAAAAAATATATACGTGGTATTGAACAGTAATGGAGCAACAGATTTTGTGTGAAAATAAATCATTCAAGTTGTTTATTTTGTTTAAAAATCGTATAAATGTATGAGGTGGCAAGAGGGGTAAAAGCTCACGGTATTTATACAAATACTTCAGCTAAAATAACGTTTTTTTTTTTTAAATAATGTCTAAGTTAATACTCTGTTTATAAAACTAGAATCAGAGTTCATGGGACAAAAGCTGGACGTATTCTGTTTTAAAAGAGAGAGAGAGAGAGAGAGAGAGAGAGAGATATATATATATATATATATATATATATATATATTTATTTTTTTGTCTTATTCCGTACGGTGTATCATATGGTACATTTATAATAAGTATATGGACACCATATATAGTACATACAAACTTATATATATATAAGCTTTACATAGGATTTTTATACCATATCAAAATTCTTGATGCACTGAAATTTCATCACTTTTGTTACCAATTTCAATATCAATAAAAGATAATACTAGCCTAAGTAAAAATAAGCTTACTGAAGACAAGTAAACAGTCACAAATTAGGTTACAACAGAACAAAGATCATAAAAACGGCCTACTTTGACTTAATGCAGGGCCCCCCATCACAATAATGATATATATATATATATGGGGTACAACGGGGCTAAAAGCCCACCTTAAGAAAAAATGTATAATTGCAGAAAAAAATATATACGTGGTATTGAACAGTAATGGAGCAACAGATTTTGTGTGAAAATAAATCATTCAAGTTGTTTATTTTGTTTAAAAATCGTATAAATGTATGAGGTGGCAAGAGGGGTAAAAGCTCACGGTATTTATACAAATACTTCAGCTAAAATAACGTTTTTTTTTTTTAAATAATGTCTAAGTTAATACTTGTTCAAAACAATCACTTTAGCAAAGTTTGTACTATTTTCTGCTTATTTTGACAGATAAAGTATTACTTTTCTTTCCCAATAAATATGCTGTTGTAGCCAATTGATTGTGACTTTTATATTTTATTTAATATCATTTACTTTATAGGATATTGTTTGTGTTGAAAGATATTTTTTTGAAAGTGTTAACTTCATCAAAACCTGTATTTAATGTTTATTTTTGATAATTGCGATTTCATGTTTAGTTTCAATGGTTCCAGTTGGGAGTTCCTACCAATTGTTGTAGGTGGGGTCTTAATTAGTGGCGCACCTTAGGAAGAGGTATCGCTTCTCCTTTAAGCATTCGCACTCAGTCTAGTAACAGCAAATTATATTTTATTATATGATATGATTAATATCATGTTTTTAAATATGAGATCTTTCTCTCAAGATATAGGCATTAATTTTAGCGATTCTCATTTGCTAATTAAATATACAACATTTTTAAAAACTTAAAATATTAGATCAAGTAAGCACAGAATCAACTTTGCACTGCTGCGCGCGATCGCGTCAAAGATCAGACAAATATACAGGTGCATCTTAAAAAACGGATGTTTTGGAAAGTGCTACGCCACGTTTTTGTGCCATCTAGTGGTTTAGATGAAAATAATATCAAAGGCACCTAACGGGGGCGCCTTGAGCCCCGTTATACCCTATATATTTATATATAAAGCTTTAAATAGGATTTTTATACCATATCAAAATTCTTGATGCACTGAAATTTCATCACTTTTGTTACCAATTTCAATATCAATAAAAGATAATACTAGCCTAAGTAAAAATAAGCTTACTGAAGACAAGTAAACAGTCACAAATTAGGTTACAACAGAACAAAGATCATAAAAACGGCCTACTTGAAAAACTTAAAGCACTGAATAATACATATATTGTATAAATAAAATGTGCAAATAGACTGAATAGACTTCACTGTATAAATTCAATATACATTCATTCTTAATTGCTTTACAAATGTGATTCAGTCAAGGACAGTAAGTTATTTTCTTTCTGATGTTTAATTTACATTATTGACACAAATGGTAACGGCAGCTATATTAGGCTGCTTTATAGTTCACCAAAAAATGAAAATTCTGTTGATGTTCTAAACCTGTATGAGATTCCTTCATGCTGTTGAACACAAAAGAATATATTTGGAACAATATTGGCAATCAAACAGTTGCTGGGCCCTCACTACTTCCATATATGAGAAGAAAAAAAGAAAAAAAAACACTATTGATTACTTTTCTTTCCCAATAAATATGCTGTTGTAGCCAATTGATTGTGACTTTTATATTTTATTTAATATCATTTACTTTATAGGATATTATTTTATATTGTTTGTGTTGAAAGATATTTTTTGAAAGTGTTAACTTCATCAAAACTTGTATTTAATGTTATTTTTGATAATTGCGATTTCATGTTTAGTTTCAATGGTTCCAGTTGGGAGTTCCTACCAATTGTTGTAGGTGGGGTCTTAATTAGTGGCGCAGCTTAGGAAGAGGTATCGCTTCTCCTTTAAGCATTCGCACTCAGTCTAGTAACAGCAAATTATATTTTATTATATGATATGATTAATATCATGTTTTTAAATATGAGATCTTTCTCTCAAGATATAGGCATTAATTTTAGCGATTCTCATTTGCTAATTAAATATACAACATTTTTAAAAACTTAAAATATTAGATCAAGTAAGCACAGAATCAACTTTGCACTGCTGCGCGCGATCGCGTCAGCTAAGGATCTCATATAGCCTAACACATGCTTTATCTTTAACTATTAACATTCATTTATGACACAAATAACTGTGTTTACGAGGATACTCGCAAAGACGGGTGTTTTGACACATAACTATGTGTATTTGACCATTTAAGCACAAGGAGCGAAAGTTTAGTCAGTAATACGAGCAGGTGTATCAGGTAGAAACCGTTTTAATGCACGCATTTATCAGAATGAATTCTGCCCCGCAGTGTAATGTCCATGAACAGTATAAACCATTTGTTTTAAAGCCTGCTTAAAACGCCTTGAAATGATAATCTTAGACTACATCATGACGCGCTTCAATCAACGATTGATATATTTCTACCGGATTATCTCCCAGCCTTTAAATTAATATAGTTTGTTCAAACACAAAAACAATATAAATCCAGTTAATAATCAAACTAACCTAAAATCTGTGTGGATGATGACACTGTTTGTATCTGCTCCGTGTGCCCGGTTCACTTGCTGTTCCAGCAACTTCCACTCCATCATCAGCTTTAGTAAAATAACCTGATAGCTGGGGAATTTACTAAGTCATGTTTTTTTAATGTTGTTTGTATTTGAAGTTTTTCGTTTTTTGAGCCCCTCTCTCTTTCAGAATTGCTGACATTTTTACTTGTTGAATTGTTCTTTGCGCGACCATTTCCAGATTACTCCAGAACAAAGTGAAGAAAGGTGAATGCAGACATACTGGGCAGCATCACCTGATAGATACGTGCGCATGTCGTTCAAAAGTCAATTATAGAATAAATGCATTTGATTGGTAAACCAAATTCAGACTTTACGTTTCAATTTCAAATGGTAATGCATGGAATTTACGGAAAAGCTCAACTAAATAACAGCGCTAATAAGTGGGGGGTGT